CAGCCCACATACAACCAGGACATTTTGTTCAAACGTAAACCGCAAGCCATGACTGGGAATTCTAGGTACATCAAAAGCGTTACCCCAAATGGCATCACCCCGGATGCTTCGCTGGGCTCTTCTACTCGCTGGATATAAGTAGCAACTAAAATATCATCCGGGGAAGGATAATCATTGTGCCAATGATCTCAGCCAACTTCCATTGCGGGAGGCTCCGAGCCACACACCAGCTTCGAGAGCATTGGTACAAGTAATATCTTGGTTCAATGATTCGCCGGTGACAACAAGAGAAATAAAATCGGAAACAAGCAGTGACCCAGAACTGTCGAAGATGCGTGGTTATATCCTAACTAGTATGCCGGAACAGGTATTTGAAACTCTAACAGCATTTTACATTCGAAGAGCTAAATTAAGCCTCTAGGACGGTTGCATAATTTGAGGCTCTCGAGTCATCGTTCCCGAACGGTATCTTCAAACAATCCTGCGGGAACATGATATAGGTCACCAAGGAAATTCAAAGATGAACGCACTAGCATGTAACTACATATGGTGACCGGGAATCGATCAAGGGATCGAGCAACTCGTACAATTGTGTGGTGCTTGTCAAAAAAAAATCATCCCCACAACCTGCGCCAATATCTCCATGGCGATGGCCCTCGCGCCCGTGGGACAGAATACACATTGACTTCTGTGAACCCATCGACGGCGTCATGTCGCTGGTGGTAGTGGACGCACATTCCAAATGGGTCAAAGTTCGGGCAACCACATCCATGACTGGGTCGACCCCTGTACACATCTTAAGGAATATATTCCCTACATATGATGTACCATGTTTGGTTGTTTCATATAACGGCCAGACATTCACCAGTGACTAGTTCGCAGAATTCCTACGTCGAAATGGAATCGAGCATGTTCTCGCGGCACCATATCACCTTTCGTTGAATCGTCTGCCAAAGAGAGCGGTTCCTACAATCAAACAGGGTGTGGTCAAACAACAGACCGGAACTTTACAAACCCGCGTGGACAAATTCCTATTGCAGTATCACATTACGCCACACACTACCACGGATCATCCACCGTGTGAACTTCTGATGGCAAGGACATCTGAAGCCAAACTCTACCGACCTAAAAGGATGAAGCCTTTCGTAAGGAGCAGGACACGTGAGTGCATGGCATTAAGGAACTTGGCATGGCAAACTTACATAGCCTCCCCGAACGACCATACCTGGGAGGTCTACACAATACAAAGGAACCACTGTGTCAAACTCGTCCGGGAGGATAAACTTAAGAACCAACAAGGTTTGGTGGAAAAGTTTTGCTCCAATCCCAAACTGCTATACAGACACGTAAACAATTTGCGCCGAGTTAAGCGCGGTATTCCTGCACTGCACACAGCATGCGGGTTAGCCCAAACCGCACAAGAGGCGGCCAACGTCCTTGGACAACAATTTGGCCGTACATTCCAAAGCGCGCAATCACCATGCATCCTGCCTATGCAGATAACGCAGCCATCAGGGCTTAATCACATATCGTTTACCTCCGCAGCTGTACTGAAGAGGCTGATGTCTCTGCGCGAGTTCAGCTCCCCGGGTGCGGACGGCATTCGACCGAAAGCGTTGAAAGTTGCTGCCATGAGTTTGGCAGGACCATTAGCAATTTTCTTTCAACGATGTCTGAACGAGATGCACGTCCCCACGATGTGGAAGCACGGAATCATCACGCCTATCTACAAAAGTGGTAGCCGTGCTGAACCAGCAAACTATCACCCGATAACACTACTGCCTGTGATCTCCAAGGTTATGGAGTCCATTATAGCTGAAGCTTTGATGGGGTACCTGGAGAACAACAAAATTCTCGTTCCGCAACAGCATGGATTTCGCCGAAATCACTCATGTACAACTAATCTCTTGATTGCTCGTGCAAGCTGGACGGAATCCGTGGACGCTGGTGTAGGAGTCGAGGCGGCCTACTTGGATTTCTCAAAGGCATTCGACCGCATAGACCATCGCATTCTCCTCCACAAACTCCAGAAATATGGAATCGGTGATCCTATTCTGGACTGGATAGGAGACTTTCTCGTTCAACGTCACCTGAATGTGAGGGTTCGAAGCAACCTATCAGAATCCATCGAAGTTCAGTGCGGCGTACCTCAAGGCTCGGTACTTGGACCCCGCCTGTTCCTGGTCTTCATAAATGACCTCGCGAGTGTGCTATCTTCTAACTGTTTGCTATTTACTGATGATCTAAAGGTATGGCGCACTATAGCTGCAGTGGAGGATCACACAGTTTTACAGGGTGACCTGGACAAAGCGTACACATGGTCCATCGAGAACATGCTGCATTTCAACGTCACCAAGTGCAAAGTTCTCAGTATACGGCACAAGAGTATGCACAACTGCCGCCTAGGACCACAAATTCTACAGCGGGCTTCTCACGAGTGCGATCTCGGTGTGATAGTTCAAGATGACCTCGGTTGTTTGAGGCAGACTGAAAAGGCAGCTAAGAAAGCGAACCAGTACCTCGGCCTTCTTCGTAGAGCCTTCGGGAAGTTTGACCCTTCAGTCTTCCCAAAAATGCTTAGTGCGTACGTGAGGCCGCACGCGGAGTACGCCATTCAAGCGTGGCAGCCCTGGCTCAAGCACCATCTCACCGCGCTCGATCCTGAACAACGTAGGGCAACGAAGAGCGTCAGAGGTTTGACCAGCATCCCCTAACCACTCAGGCTGAAGACCCTCAAAATATACAGTGGACGTTATCGGCTTCTAAGGGGCGATCTCATAATGGTGTACTTAATCCTGAGAGACCCCAACCACCCATGACATTCCCTTCTAATACTCAGTCAAAATACCTCGCTAAGAGGTCACCGGTTTAAGTTAGTCATGCAATACAGCCGCCTGGAATGTCGGCGGAACTATTTCTCCCTTCGAGTGGCACAGCCTTGGAACGCCCTCCCGGAACATGTAATTAATGCACCCACCCTGTTCCTTTTCAAAAAACGCCTTGACGATACCCTGTCACATTTACACTACGTGTTATAGCTCATGACCACCAGATGCTGGCACTAATGCACTACAGACAGTGGATAGTGCCATAACCCTACTCGAGAATGAGTCATTCCAAACTCCTTGCACGAAATTTGATAAACGCTACTACTACAGAAACTGGATTACTGTATCCTGTCGACCCAAGATTGTTGCACACGAGTAAGCATTGTCCTGCTACCTTTTTTATTTTTCTCGCCTATGATGTAAACAATAACCACTCCCCTGTTGCTTTGTGTGCGTACATCCTTATTTCAAACTCCCTTTATACGACTGTGCAGGTACATCTGTAAGCGCCCGAACTGAAGACTCCATTATCCCTTCGCTATCTTTTTTATCACGCTATACACCCTACGAGACATGTCAAGCACCTGCTTTTTTACCCGTTATAAATCATTGTTCATTGTCTGCGCACTCGGTTGGATCTGCTTAAACCCAATCTGCATCGAGCAGTTGGTAAGCGCTAGTCTGTGATGAAGCAACGCTACGGCATGAAAACGAAGAATCGTGTGGTTGAGGCAGGCGACAGAATGTATGTTAAACTGGCCAACGGATAGAACTTGGATCCGAGGGATTACGAGATCGACAAGAGGTAGTGCAGTGGAAACGGAATTGGAAGATGGGCGAATACTTTAGCGTCATTTGGACCAAGTGCTACGACAGCCTGTGAGTCCTACAGAGGAACAAGCGAATTGCCCATCACCTTTACCCCTGTGAATAGCGGCAGAGACATTGCCAAATTAAGACCACACGAAGTAACCTATAGAGCCATGGCGATCGTGAGAATTTGCAGCGTGGAACATTTTCAAGCTAGATACTCTTAATCTAGCGGTGGAGAATTGCTGCGATGGGTTATCACGAGCCACGGTATGTCTGGCCATGCACGTGACTCACTATTGTATTAAACTGCAAAACACCGATCCATGATATTTATCACTTCTTGCACTATTGTGTACATATGCTTAGGCTATGGGAGTTCTCTAGCGGTCCCCTGAGAGTTGGAAATAAAATATACTTTGAAACTGAGTCTCCAAGAGTCTGAACATAACCTTTTAATCCGAAGTACAGATTGTGGGCTCAACCACCTTCAGTTAGACTCCAAGAGTGGAAGGACGATTAGAATGCACGCAACGCAATGCATAGCTATCAATAAGGCTGACGATTTTACATAACTTTGGTTTGGACTAAGATCGCACTACTACCACGTGGTCCGGGAGTTATGTTCCCTTCATCACGCATACGCGCGCTGTTTGCGGAGATTTATGGTACACTGGTGAAGCCGTTGACCTACTGACATGCGTTCGATTTTGGAGATCAAACCCGTGTATCGTCATTTGACAGTGAAATGATACAAGCAACGGCTCATTAGAGGGGTGAGTGTAAGTGCTACGGAGGAAAGTATTTGCAGTTTGCATCCGCTTTCAGTGGATACCGAGATGTATCTAAGTATGAGTAACCAGCGTCGTCACCCAAGAGCTCATCAGACAATGCACTCAGAATTTACACCACATGGGAATTCGACTTACTCCATTCACTTAACGACAATCTAAAAAACATCAATTTTGGTCTAACCGTTATGACAGGCCGTTTCTGCGAAGCTCAGCAGTACAATACTAAAGGTACGTTCCGGCATTTCCCACGCCATGTGTTCGGGTCCCAGCCCCACTCTTTTTACATGGAGAGTCCAAACAAGACCCAAACTGCTTATGGATATCAGTGATTGGAACTAGCAGATCCACTAGTGTCTCCGATCTAACTACACTGCCGGTATAGGACTTATCCAAAATTTGCCTTTAAGCAGGTTGACGTTTGAGGTGAGGTTGCATTTTGAAGTATATTCTCAAAAATGGTATACTAACAAAATATATAAAAGAAACCAAGGTGCTCTTTCATCACAGACCATTGAAAGTCTGCTCTTAAACATTGTAGTCTTTATGTACACTTTCTCATGTACCTTACCTTCCATCTCGACTGATTGTGTAATTGCGTAGTTCACAGTTGACGCTGGAACTCCGGCTCAGGCAGTTCTGCAAACTGACCACCTCATTCTCAACACCAGTCTGGAAATGAGCTGTGTCGGGGAATTTGGCATAATAGTTGGACGACTGGGATAAGCCAGTTTTTTGCTCATTACGTTCCCAGTTGGACTGGGAAGCGCGGACGAACAAGGCGGCTCTACCGAGGGTAGGTGTTCTGGGACGGCGACCTACCAGGTCTGGTTGATGACTAGAGGTAGGCGTTCTTGTTGCAGCCACAACACATGGTCCTCTAGATTCAGGGGCCATCGATTGATCACTAGAGCGAACGGCAGAGTTTGGAAGTTTGTTACGAAGGCTTGTCTTGTGCGACAGTCGGGAAGGACGTGGAGGTCGCTCGTTCAGCTGTGTGCCCCGATGGACGCCGGGATCGAATGTACCGTTCACGTGGCCATGAAGGTCAATGAACGGAGACCAAGTTGTGCTTTCTAACTCTCTGAGGGCGAGTGCACCTTGCTCAGCCCAATCAATTCTGTCCGCTTGGTTAGATGGTCGGTTCAATGGGGAGGTCTCGCAGTTTGAGCTATAAGATAAAGCAGAGAAGATAGGGCTTCAACTGAATGAAATGTTCGAGAGCGGACATAACAGGAATTCTGAAAGCTGAAATTAAGATGCACATAATTAATACTACACGATGGGTCATTGGTCCCAGTAAGGCCTAACTTCAAACGCTGCGTCTGTTTTGGCTCAGCAGATAAAACTATGATATTTCGGAACACAGTGAATACCTGATGGGAACAAACAGCTCTTCAGTAATTGGGCTGCCTGTTAAACTCAGCCTAATTGGATCTCAGCAAAACTACTACGCTTACAATGTGACCAATAAATCAATCATATAGTTTGCACGGCTACGCTTTTAATTCTCCAACTGAACGACTGAGGAAGAATCAGCTCTCGCACCCCAGATTGTATGTATCTGCCAAAATTGTAAACGCAAATATGGAAGCAAATAGACGAAGAATACGGCGGATAACGCAAAAGGTTGATTTGACCAAGCAGATAGTTAAAATCCAACGTCAGTTGTCAGTTATCTGCTGGGTGCTCGCATTTCCAGTGGGTAAGTTATTCAACCAAGATATTCATCATACAAGTAGTTACATGTGGTTCCTAATCTCTGGCTGTCAGACACCTAACACGCTACTGAGCTAGTGGGGTAGTCACCGCTGCATAGTGTCTCAAAACAACTTTACAGTACAACCAGCCATGTCAAGTCTCCGCGAACCTCCGACTCCTGTAACATGACAGCGACTAATTTCACATGAATGTATCATATATCCCTTCGGGTCATGTTCTTAGAAATAGATCATTGTCATAAATCCTTTTATTTTCATTGCAAGGCAGATCACGCAGTCAGTGGAGAAGCTGGTAGAATGGTATACCAACCTGTGGCTTCACTACGAAGTGGATCAGTAGAATTGCCGATCGTAATAATCTGTTATTACCGACCTCAGACAGCAAGGACAGATTAAGTGGTCCATCTAGACCAATGTAACGTGGTCTTGGTAACACTTGCATTAAACGAGTTTCAAAATGTACGACACAAGCGGTACCTGTAAGGGATTTAGTCAACTGTTCCAGCCAAATTTGGTCGGCTGATTGGGTGGTTGACAAAATGGAGCTAGTCATAAACAAGCAATTAACAAGCAGATACCTCCAGAGCTTACTGGAGAAACACAGCCAAATGAAATAAGTAAGGAATCGGGCATCTGTTGTAGCTAGGAAGAATATGTTCACTAAGTTTCTTCTTAAAGGTAATATTCCCAACCGACGACTAGTACGCATCTGATTTTGGTCAAGCAGAGAAGTTACCATACTGTTGATCAACATCATTGAACGAAAGCGGGAGCTATATCATCCTTCAGTAATCGAAGCTCAGCAAACCGAGTCTAACGCACAAGGTGGCTACCAATTTACATGTGAGAGAGGTGCCAAGCAGCTAAGTAGGACCCACACGAGGTTGAGCTGCTAAATGAGGGAAAATGTGTTTAGGTGGTCTCAGCCTTAGCCTAGCCGCCTCATTAAACTATGCTACCGGCCCCTTCTACTGACAGACTGGGGGTCGATGGATTCACGACAAATGTACATTCTGTACAATATTCTGTCATGGCTATCCTAGGCGTAAAAGCAAGACATTCATTTTCATTTTGTTTACTTGTATGTTTGATCGCATCCATTCCTGAAGAAACACGTATGCTAGATTTGTTGGCCCGCCATTTGTCTTGTTACTGTGCTTTCTGTCGTACAGCGCTCCGCAAATCAAGAAGACCTGGCCACGATCACGAAGTCACTTATTAAAACGTCGCATGGATGTTTACAGAGTATATTCACTATTTACGAGAATCCAGTCCACTGGCTCACCCTTGTTATTTTCTTTATGTCGCTGACTCCATTTCCATGGTTTTACGCTTGTTTGCAAAGTTCATCCTGTCTAAGACTGAATCGAGCCGCTTTCCTGACTTGCTGCATGGATTGTATGGTTGGCTCGATTGGTCACTCGTCCATCTGGTCACACGTTCCTTTCCTTGGTCTGACGCTACAGCAAACCTTGACTCAGGTGCGTACAGTCTATTCCTGGCCCGGTAAACCAATCGCTTCTCTACTCCTCACGGATACACGTTTTTTCGCAAGACTGAATTGGTCCTGAGGTTTTGGGACCTGATGGCACCTGATTGGTCACGTGCACACTCAGTGCATGCTTGTTCAGTTGGCTGACTGTCCTCCCACAGCTCGACTTGGGCGCACGCAGACCACTCGCTGCTCGGATGACCAATCCGCTTCCGATGACATGCTCACTTTCTTTCAGGATACGTTGCATCTGTTCGGTACTCCGAGAAAACTGAGTGGCGTTCGATTAGCCATCTGTCTACCGGTATCCTAGTGTTTTCACTCGCCACGCTTTCAGCTGATATATGGATATCGGTGTTCTGCCATTGTCAATTATTTATGACGGTTCATCTTGAAATCGCCTCTAGATTTCCTTACCATGTGTGTAACGATATGCGTCCCGGTTACCGTTGGATCACATCCACTCTTAATCTGGAACAAGGTACGCATGCTCCTGGATGATGGCATCTACTGTCATGGTACCCCACCAGTTCTCTTTGTTTTTCCACCAGTTTCGATCTCCTAACTTAGTAACCAGCATACTAAATAATTGTTTTATTCTCAACAATGAGCGACACGCCCGCATGGACATGACCACGTGGTACAAACACTAAGTACCGGTAAATGTAAACGACGTTACAAGTTTACCGGTAGCTTATGGATTCAGGTGATATGTGTATATGCATGTATTTCTTGAATTTGTAAATGTGATGCCGTATTTGTGATCGCTTTCGGTCAGGTTGTCAGGTTAGATGGGGTGAAAGGAAATCTTCGTATCGGAAGACTGACGTCCATGGATGGATTGGGTAGACCATCCAGCTACTTAAGAGGCAGTGACTTTAGTAAGTGGCGAGTCACATTGGCCACGTCGTAGTTATTATACGGACATTTGTGATGTTTCTAGGGAGAACGCTGCCAGGCGGAAACCCACCGCATCTTAGAACATTGCCGCCGAACGATTTGCTGGAACTGAAGAAACTCGAATCACCCAGCTGGCACCACGTGGTTATTTTTTTTCTTCTATCGTTGAGCTCCAAGTAGTATTTGAACGCCGTCTATTCTACTCACCTTGGTGTCCTCTGG